TTTTCAAGTTTATCAATGGATATATTATTGTTGATAATACTGTTTTCAATGACAACAATACTGATAATGATGATAATATTTTTACAGCGTCTCTTCATCCGTCAACAAGGAGAATTCGGAAATCGTCACCAATAACAACGAGAAGAAGCACTGAAACGTAAATGTCAGCAGTTGATATTTCAGCGGCCGGCACCATGCTTTGTGGTGGTACTCCAACGATATCGACACCGTTCAATCACTTGAATATCTCAGCGCATCCAACAAATTCCATTTCAACTGCTCAATCTCATGCCTACTCTCACACTCACCACGCAATGACAGCCACTCTACAGAACGCTCATCGCATGGGAATGTCATTCGGTATTCACAGTCTGCTCGGTTTAACTGGTGCAAATGCTGCTGCTGCTGCTTCATCGGCATCGTGCTCCATTCCTCGATTCGATGCAATCACAATGCAATCATCAAATCCTTCCTCTTATATCTGTGCTGCTCCTAATGGTGTGTCTAATTCTGATAACGCAAATAATACTGATATTATTGTTGGCGCCACGAATCTAGGCGCAGTACCACAGTATTGTCATCAAGCAGCACTATTCCAACCCTCAAATACGTCACCGTTATTCTCAACAATGGATACTGCAACAATGCCACCACAAGCCATGGTCACCAGTTTTGAACGTATACCATCAAACTATCACGAAACACTCAACTGTCAAGGTAGGTGACTGATTACTCTTCATTCATTCACTTGATAGAATTTACTCATTTTATGTTTCATTGTCAGTCAACAAATTCATAACATTTGATAGTCAAATGACACATCAGAGGTGTAACTGATTAGGCCAAAGTTTCTGGCCGATGCTTTTTTGCAGACTGAAAATTGATGCAGGTAAATAGTTGTACTCTAACTGAAGGCATTAGTCAAGTGCTTTTTGCGTTGAGAATCAGGTGAAAATCATTATATAATTACGTACAGGTTGTATACAGACAGTCATCTTTTAACTTATCCGTGATTGCCCACAACTATCAGCACCCTCGAATACAAGAACTAATTTCTAAATATTCTCGAAAACGGAAACATTCCTTGTAAAACAAAATGAGATTTCAATTATTTTTAAGATTCTCTTAAACGATCTTCAGCGCGCAATTTCTCACTTCCCACAGACTCTTCACAATCAACTGAACAAAATTTTGACAAAGACATTTATTTGCATAAGTTGATTCAGACTGTCACTCATTATGTTCTACTAACGTTGTCGATTGTTAATCATAATTCAAAAAGTAGAATTTCATCTGCCTTTTAGAGTTATGCCTTTTAAGTGGTCGTTAGTCGACAAAAATTAGAAATTATTGCCTAATGAAGGTAATTTGGAAAGACTTTGCAGAAGCGATGATGAGGATGTTCATAATTGGAGATTGCAAAAACTTAGGAAATTGAGTGTCTAGAATGAGAGAAACGAGTAGGTGGGAGTGCTGCTGCGGTAGTGAGGATGATCACAACACACAATAACCTAAATCAATCATCAAATGAATTCGAGAAAATTGCCTTAATAAAGACGGCGATTGAATATAATTTTCAATGAGCAGAAATAAACGCTCAATGAGAAATTTCTTCTTAAGATAAAGATTATTTGAATCGACACAGAATGCATAACTAGTCATCAAGTTGGTTATGAGTGGAGTTGATTGATTCTGTTTAAGCAATAAGCTCACCTTCCTATGGTATTTATTTGATGCTTGATATTATCCATCTGTATTTCACAAATTTTCATTACTTTTTTCGGCTACCGCAACCGAATTTGATAGGTTAGACAAGTTATTAAATCAATATCATGATGATGATATCCGAACTAGTGCGGTCCATCTATCTGTGATTATCAACAGTCGTTGAACAATGCGGCAGAGGATGAAAAAATAAATGTACTCCTTAATGTGCAAAGAACAGAACGACAAAAAGGCATGAGGGGGACGCTTTTGATGGATGCGAGAAATGAGAGTGATCGTGGGGTGTTTCAGAAGAATGAGAATTTATTGACAGATCATCAGTATAGTGAACTTCGACATAAAATTTGATACGGCGGTGTTAAGACTGGAATTACAAAATTGTAATAGGTAAATAAGATAGGAACAATTGGTTCAGGTATGACACGACTCGATTATGCGGGATTTACGAACGGCGCGACGTTAATGGGATCAACGATGAGTGAAGGTTCATCGACGGCACATACAATCAACCCGTCGTCGAAAAGTATAAACAATTCGAATAAACGAAAAAAACGTCGACATCGAACAATCTTCACACAGTTTCAAATCGATGAACTCGAAAAAGCATTTCAGGTTGAATTTGTCACATTTTATTCCTCAGTTCCGATCAACTTCAAATTACGAACAAATCCATATCTTCCATGCATATTACCGTCTTATTTCTTATTCCTCCAGCATAATCAAAATAGTGTAGTTGCTTGGCCATTTAAAAATTCATACAAGATCGTTTCCGATCGATCCGTCTCGCCGATTTTTTCACTCTTCTCAGGGAACGTAACCGCATATATCTCTCATTGGTTATCATGACCATGAATATGCTTGAATTCTGCCATTTGCAAAGCAGCACATTTCAGTTACGAAAAAATAAACAATTTAAAATAGTTGGCCAAATATATTGAATGTTCATTGATACACAGTGACGCCTGAGTTACCCAACGTATTTCGCTGTCATTGTGCATCGAATCAATACGTTGAAGTTCGTAGGCATAACCGATTGAATACAATTCAATGTGTGAAGTCACTTGCGCTATTATTATCTATAATTCAGTTTCTCGCATCTATTGAAAACAACATTCGTCGAGATTACTTGTTACTGGTTATCGCCTTATGTTTTCACATATTGTTCCGCTTCTATTTACGCTACAAGAACGCACATTATTTCTGGATTACCCTATGAGTTGAAAAACTGGAAAATGCCTAAAATACAGATTATCAAATTGATCCATTGCGTATTCCTTGCGTATAAGCAACACTCTGACGATTATTTGTCTTCAACAGAGAGATTTTCATTTAATCATATTAGGATCCTAATAATGCGGTGTTTCTATACTCGACACAGAGTATGGGAACTTGTGAAGAAGGATTAATCAATTCTTATTACTTTTCATGAAGACATAGCCATGATTGCAAAACAAAACCTCAGTAGTTCACAAGCTCGCTATGAGATGGTAGAATAAAGGAGGCTCAAATGCAAATATACGTAAAAATATCGTTTCTGCTGCATTTCAGGAGGCACACTATCCGGATATGTACGCTCGTGAGGTGTTGGCTTTAAAAACCGAACTTGCCGAGGACCGAATACAGGTGATACATTCGTTAAACTATCCGGATATGTACGCTTTGAACACCTATTCAACACTGAAACTTATTAATCAAAATTTTTTATCAAAACTAAGATGAAACAATTCCTTTTCTGACTCTATCTTTTATTGTCAAAGCTGATCAGCCATATTGAGATTAGGTATGGTTTCAAAATCGACGTGCAAAATGGAGGAAAACCGAAAAGACATGGGGAAAGAGTACAATTATGGCCGAATATGGGCTGTACGGTGCAATGGTACGACATTCGTTGCCTTTACCCGAAACAATCACCAAATCATCCGATAACCCAACTGAATCTGCTGCACCTTGGCTTCTGGGTGAGTGTTCTGTTCCTTGCAAATGAACAGTACAACCACGAAAAGAACAGTTGTTACTGTAATAATCATAATAACAAACAGAATATACATTTGGATGTGATAACAATTGTGATACTAATGATGGTAATTCGCAATAAAAGTCAAATATAATGAAATTATCGGATCATTTTGGCTTTGTTCAGTTTCAAAGTTATTGTTTCGTTGTTGGGTCTACATTACTTCACAGTGAGGTGCGCTGAGTAAAAAGAATGAGAATGAGTAAAGAAGAATGTAAGATTTAAGAAGGTGTCATTACTATTA